GCGGAAGTGGCTTAAGCTTCTTTGTGCTGTGTTTTAACCTGCTGCGCCACCAGGGAGGGCCGATTTTGTGGGTTTTTTAATAGCTCTTTTTTAAAATGTTTGTTTACATTTAAGAGGGAATAGGCATGGAAAAGAATTCACAGCACTCTATATCAAAGTTATCCCACTAGGAGGCATTCAGGGAGTTATCGCGGATGACAGGCATTAGGACCCAGTGATGGCATCTACGACAGAGGATCTGTCAGTCACTTTTCTCAACTTGTCCTGGTAAGGGGGAAAGCAGCCTAAGAAGAGGGTATGAGCTCGCTCTGCCACCCACTGCCTGCGGGGTTGGCCAGGCCCCCTGCACATCCAGGCCTCAGTGTCCCTGGCCTGCTCCCCTGTGTCAGCCTTCCAAGGTCAACCTTCACTGCCTCAGGACAAGACATTCTGTTACAGCATACTGCTAATTTCCTGTCAGGCCTACCCCTAAGAACAGAGACTACCAGTGTCCCCCTTGGACAGTCTAACGATAGCTCAGCAAATACTGAAAGGCCTAAGACAGGGTGAAAGGGCACAGCGGGCAGGAGCTGGGTCTTCTGGACTCCCAACTCCCTTCTGGCACTTATATTCTCTCATCCCTTGGATGCTCATTTAGGTCCTCTCATCAGGAAGCACTTAGGCTGTTTTCAGTAAATTCACAAAACTCAGAGTTAGTGAGGATACAAACAAGCAGGCACTCAGGTAGAGTTGTCCTAAATTTCCAATTTCATGCTCTATGTAGCTGGGTTCTCCTTCATGCCAAGTTTCTCCTAGTTTCCATAAAGATTTGCTGAATGAATGAAAGGAAAAGAGTTTATTGTCAAGGAGCACCTGAAGCATGATCCACTAAGGTGGGAATGTATGGATTGCTACCTTTGCATGTTCGTATATAATTACAAGTATCTAAAGTGATGATGGGCACCAAATTTTACTGCTAGGTGATTCAATTTCAAGACCTCTTTCTTCTCAGGGCTTCCCAGTGGCACAGGAGTTAAAGTCTCAGCACTATCAAGCTATCTCCACTCACTGAGGCATGGGGTCAATCCGCTGGCCAGGGAGCTGACCGCATGGCATAGACCTCTCCTGTCTTGCCCGCTGCTCTCTGCCTGTTCTGCTCCCCACTCTGTCTCTGGTGAATCCTCCTACCCCCTGCACCTCTAGCCTGCACCCCAGCTCTTGTATGCATAAATAAAATAAATCTTTTTTTTTAAAGGGAAGAGTTTTCTTCCCTTTATTAATTTTCTGTATTTGAATGTTCCCCTTATAAAGAGCTAAATGTAAATTTAGTCTAACTTACTAAATAAAACATTTTAAAACAGTCATAGAAATACGTTTCCATTTGAAAAAATTCTCTGGATGGGCCCTCCCTGTTGACGCAGCGGGTTAAAACACAGCACTGAGAAGCTAAAGCCACTTCCACATGAGTTCGATTCCCACCTGCCCCGGATGTGACCACATGGCGCGGCAGACCTCTCCTGACCCGCCCGCTGCTCCCCTCAGCAGTGTACTTCGTCGATCTGCCTGTTCTGCTCCCCATTCTGTCTCTGGTGAAGCCTCTCGCCGCCCCACAAATAAATAAATCTTTAAAAAAAAAAAAATTGGATGAAGTAAACAGGCTTCAACTGTTAGATTAAATCTGAGTACAGAGAAGTCCCACCTTTGAGATACATATAAGCCAATTCTCTGGACCTACAGTTAGGCCCATCGTTTTGTACAACTCTCTAGAAAGAAAGAAGACTTCTCTGTCTTCTTTTACCAGTTTTCCAGCCGATCTAGGCAGATGTTGGGAGGGCCTCCGATGCAAGCTATCTGCTGCCGCCTCTTCCAATCCGCCAGCTCATCGTCCGTGAGCGTTTTCTGTACATACTCCATGGCTGACAAAAGCCCAGCCAACTCACTCACGATGCTCTGGTTAGAAACCAAACGAAAGTCAGAAAACAAACAATCTCTAACCACATTCCTCAGTCCATCCCAGAGAAGGAACTAACTGGAAACCAGACAAGTTCTGCCAGGAGAGGCTAAGATCCCAAAGGAGGGCGATACCAGGGAGCTGGATGTGGGCAGAGGCTCACCCGCCGCATCTGGTCCAGCGCAGTGAGCATCTGTTCCAGCTGCTGCATCTTCTGCCTGGTCACTGACTGGTTGTTTCCATTCAGATCCTGCATGTCTGTGGAGGAAGGGAAACCTTAACCAAGGGAATACTCCTGCCCTTAGTAAGGAGGCTCCTTAAGCATCCGAGGCCTCTTGAGCCACCACCCCACCCCCGCCCCAGACTGAATGCAGAGGGAGCCTCCCTGGTGGCACAAGGGGTTAAGTCCCAGTGCTATCAAGCTTTCATAGCCACTGACCCATGAGTTCAATCCCCAGCCAGGGAACTGACCCACACAGCGCAGCAGACCTCTCCTATCCCGCCCACTGCTCCCCTCAGCAGTATATTTCAGTGGATCACCTGTTCTGCTCCTGACTCTGTCTCTGGTGAATCCTCTCACCCCCCACACCTCTGGACTACACCTCAGTTCTATTATGCATAAATAAATAAAATAAATATTTAAAAAAAAAAAAAGACTGAATGCAGAGACAAGACACACAAGCCCTGAACTCACTTTCTACAGGGGATTGCAATGTCTAATGTTCACTTGCCTCCTTGACTCTTGAGGGTTTTATAGTTGAAATCAAAATCATCCTGGAGATTCTCCACCACTTTCATTTTCTGTTCTAGATCCTGTTTCAAACAGACAAACAAAACAGAACCACAAGTAAAAAAAAGAGTTCTCTGGGGAGAAAGAAAGATTTGCTGAGAAGAAACTTTTAAAACAAAGCCAAACCTGCAAGAAGACCCACAGGGGACGCACACCCTGGTACTGGCTTCCTACCTGCCTCATGCCTCACCTGGACACGCTTGCGGACATCCTGTAGGTGCTGCTCCAGCATCTGCTGCTTCTCTGTCACTACAGAGGCTGAGGGGTGGTTGCCCTGGCCCCCTTGCTGCCAGAAAGGAAGTCAACACACATTGGAGGCAGGAGCCACGAGGAGAGGAAAACGCGCGTCTGCCCCACCCCACCTGTCCCAACTGCGTGGCAGGTGGAGCTGCCATCACAGTGCCCAGGAAATGCTACCTGCGTCCTTGGATTTTTGCCGCTAGCTCAGACTATGAACCTGTTCTGTGGAGCCACATGGCCTTCAGAGCTCATTTTATATAGGTGAAAAAATTCAGAGCCATTCATGACGGCAGATGTTGGGTACCTATTTAAACATGGCTTCTGTGCATCTCTATGGGATAAGATAAAACCACTTTGTCCCAGCAAGGAAATTCCATATGGAGATGTTCTGTTCAGGGAGGAGAAGGGGACATGGTACCATGAAAAGGTCAACTAGCAGGTGAAACTTAAATACATGTGAAATAATAGGACATCGTTTGCAGCAGAGCCTAGGGCGGTGACCAGGACAGTGTGGTACGAGGACAGAAACTGACAGAACTGAGAGTTCAGGAAGACGTGACATGCCCAGTCTTCCAAGTGAGAAACGCTGAGTTCTTTGATTTCACACTGAGTCACCAAATCATCCTGACTCTACATTCGGTGATCTCTCCTCCGATCAACCTTTAGCTAGAATGACAGTTCAAGGCCCACCTGCTGATGTCTTTGCCAATAATCTCTCACTTCCAATCTGTTTTCTATGCTGCTATCAGACGTTTCAAAGTAGATCTGAACATGCCAGGTTTTAGAGGGAACCATCATCTCCCTCTGCCATGGGCCCTCTCTAAGCCCACAAAATACAAATATCCCTGAGGAAAGCTGGGAAGTGACCTCCACCCCTGCTGATTTCCATGCAATGACTCAACTGATTTGCAAGATTAGGGAAAGACTCTGAGATCATCAGAACCCAGCACTTTTCAGCTGGGCCTCTCTCCTCACTGGCCTTCTGGTACACACTTGGAGCAGTAGGAAGGGCCTGGTTTCTAGACGCAGTTCTGAAGCCCCACCAAGATCTCCCTACTCAGGGGACTTGAAGCTCCATATGGAGGACTCAGCAAGTGCTGCTCTGCACCCCAAGAGGACAGGCATCAGAAAGCCTTTGGGCTGACCACCAAGCAAGTCTTGCTTGACCAAGAGTTTAATCTCTATTCAACACCATGTCAAACCTCAACTGACAGCCCCAGAGGGTGGAGAGGGGAATATGATTATCACCCACAGCAGCCCACCTCTAATACTAGTGCAAGAACTGGTGGCTGCCTACTGCTTCTGGGTATAAACATCTCAGCCCAGCACAGAATCTGACCGTGCAATCTGATGACAACTTTAACCTCCTCTCCCTGTGCTTCAGTCACCCCAAACTACCCACTCTCCCCCCCGTGTTTTCATGCTCTCCCCTCACTGTCCAATCAGCCTGGCACACACCCCATTCATTCACTCAGGCTCCATGCAAATGTTTGCTCTCTGGTGAAACCTGCTTAACCTCCCCAGCAAAATTACTGATATTCTCTTCTCCACTGTCACTGAGTACCTGTACCTATCATCCCTGCCAGATCAAGAACCCTGCTAGAAGGAATCATAGCCATTCACCTTCCTAGCTCCTGGTGCACTACTTAAAAATACACCAGCATTTAGCAAGTAAACTAACAGTGAGGCCTGGGTTGAGTGCTGCAAGCTTTTCCCCTAAGGTCCTGGTGGTAAACAGCTTTGGCTTTCTGGGTCATGCGGTCTCTGTGCAGAGACAATGCGGACAAGAGTGAGCGTGTGAGCATATTTCAAACCCGTCATTTATGAAAGCAGGTGGCAAGGGGGACTGGACCCAGGGCGTAGTCTGCCCGCCCCGGTTTCCATGACTAGGAACAGCCTCTGGACACCCCCCTTTCCTACCCTCTCCTGGCAATGGAGGAGCTTCCATCCAAGGCTGTTTAAAGTGAGCATGTCGATCTTGTGTGTCAAGATGAAAACAAAGGCTGCCCCCACCAGAGAGCCCCATGACACACAAACAAGAAGCTCTGCTCACCTCCTGACCTCCAGGTTCTCACATGGGGAGTGTGATCAGCTACCCACCACCACATCCAAGCTTATCAATTTCTGCCTAAAATTCTTCAGTAGATCCCCATTTCCTATGTCGTGGTGATGGTGGTGATGATGATGAAAATGACAGCAAACAGCAGTTACCATTTTTTGCATGTGTGTGGCAGGAACTATTCTAGGCATTTTTCTAGGCTTATCCCCGCCCCCGTCCAAGGAATTGGCATTGCCACTGGAGGTGGCAGAGAGAGTATCCTCAAATTTAACTATAAAAGACAAAGTCCTAAGAACCTGATGGCTCAATTCCAACCCATCTCCAAGATGGCCCCCCCAAACAGCACAACATCATGCCCTTCTGGAGTGAATGTGAAGGGTTACAGCAATTCAGCTATGTATAAAGTTAAGAACAGACATGTGCGTGTATATATACTATTTGACCCAGCAATTCCTTTTTGGGAATTTATCCCAGCAAAATCAAAGCATGAATACGTCAAGATATATAGGAAGACACTGCCATGTATCTATAATGGAAAACAATCTGAATGAAGCAACCACCTATAGGTGACGGAATCACCTAGAGCAAAGCACCGCCACAGAGTATGGTGTAGCAAATAAAGAAAATGAGTAAGCTTTATACTGCTTGACTTAGATTTACATGATATACTATTAATGAAAAAAATGCAGAGAAGTAAACCCATTTAAATGCTTTCTCTACAATTTAAGTGGGCCTAGAGAGTAAATATATATTACTGATTAATGTTGGTCTCTTGGGGAGAAAGACAATGCACAGGAGTGATATTTCAGAATTTTAAAAAACTTCCCTCTTTATAATTCTGTAGTGTTAATTAAAGAAGCATGCATTGCATACTTGGGGAGAGAGAATACTATTTCTTATATTGGGCTGCTGGGAAAGTCATAACATATTTTTGGCTTGAAAAACAAAGGAAAAATATGTCATGACTTTTCTGACAACTCGATAGAAAACTAAAACCCAAAGAACCCACATCTACCCGGAGGTCAGTGGACACCCCAGTGACCATCTGAGAGGAAGCTTATCTTGGTGCCCAAGGAAGCGAGTATGTCCCCATGGCACCTGCGTTCCCCCAGGCCTCACCTGGGCCGCAGTGGCTGCGGTCTGGAGGAGGCGGGACTCTTCCCACAGGCACCGGGCCACGATCCGAGCGATCTCCATGGGCTTCTCCAGATACCTGCTCTGTAAGTGGAGAGAAAGAGGGTAAAAAGCTGAACTGTGGAGATGATGCCCCAACTTGGCAAATTTAAAACTGGCTATCTCATAAATTGAGGAAACCAGTCCATTTACTGCATGAAACAACAGAACCAAGTTCTGAGCCGGGCTGCCAGCAGTAGGGGATGAAAGGTAACCAAGAAGAAAAGCAGCCACAGCGAGGAGCGCTTGGGTGAGAGAACACTCTTTGGTCAGTCTTTGGGCAGTATGTTATCCTGGTTTTCATAAAAGGGAGAGGACTGACCTTGGTCAAGGAGCATCCTGCTATGGTCAAACCTTTACCACCTTTGTAAGAGGGGACCTAGTTAGGATCATGTTATTTTAACAGGCTAACATAGTATGATCAACATGACAATCGAGTATTACCTCAACTGACAAAAGAAGTAAATTTCAGGCAATTTACTTGCTAAAACATGAGTAAACTGAGATTTGACAAAGGGCTAATAACTTCTTTGATTCAAAGAGAGGTTCTTGTGACTTAGCCAAGGTTAAAACTGGCCTGAAGGTTCAGTTTCTCCTCTCCTTAGAGTAGCTCACCTGAAGGAACTGCTTGATTCTTCGCAGATTGTGCTGATAGAGAACATTTGACTCTTGCAGGAAGCGGCTGTACTGCTGATCAATTTCACCCAAGAGATTATGAAATACCAAAGTGGCGTGTGATTCTTTGCTGGCTGCATATGCCCTAGGAAAAGGAAAAATGAAAAAGAGTGATTGTGAAATCTACACACACAAACAGAAACCATCTTCAGGAAAGGGGCTTGGGGGGGAGATCAAGGCCAATGACGCTTTCATATACTCACATTTTAGATTTATCTTGCTCAAGAAAAGTAAATATCAACAATTTAATAATTACTAATCACTGTGGCATAGCCTATACTTAGTATTGAGTGAAGCAGACAGATACAGTTTTGCTTTAAATTCTCAGTAACTTTGGGGTCAGATTATAAGTAGTAAATAAGCAATTCCAAGCTAAGAAGTCTGTTTCCTACATCTCCAAATCACTTCCTGGCCCCTTGCCAAACCTGAAAAGGCTAAATCACAAGTCAAATTTAGCAGGTGGTCCTAAATACTTTAAAGTGAAAAAATACTTGGTGGAATTCTGGGCTTCATCTCCTTTATGAACAAGTTGATTTTCCTTATGTTGTGTCTCTTTCCTTTAAAAAGGAGAATCATAAGTATGAACCCAAACTTCTACCCCTAACAGAACTCTCAGTCAGATAAAAGGTATTTGTGGTCTGTCCCTGGAATGTCAGAACATACAGAATATCTCACCAAGCAAATGTCACCCAAATCAGCTTTCAAAATGCCTCCAAGCAGCCATTTCAATGGGCCAAGATACAGCTGTGTACATCCTTCTAATATCAAAAAGGTTTTACAAAACAAAGAGTATCTTTTGATCTCCTGAGCTTTATTACCTGTACCTTTGTATTTTTTAATGAAATGGCGCAGGAGTTAAGGACAATGCTGTCAAGCTATCGCCAGCCACTGCAGCCCTAGTGATCCCTGGCCAGACCCAGCAGACCTCTCCTGTCTCTCCCGCTGCTCCCCTCAGCAGTGTATTTCGGTAGAACTGTCTTTGATGAATACTCTTCGCACCCCTGCACCTCTGGCCTACATTCTAGTTCTTGTATGCTTAAATAAATAAATCTTTTTTAAAAAAGGAAATAGCTAGTAAAGAATTATGCTATTGCAGATGGGGCATCTTGACTCAAACCAAAACTTGACAGCTTGGGAGTTTCTCGGGAGGGCTTACCAGTCTTGACTCTCAATCCAAGGGGCCAGAAACTGCCGCAGCTCCATCGGGAAGCTGTCACTGTACAGCTGATGAAGCTGCTCCAGGTACCGCGTGTCCAGCTGCTGTAGCTGATTCCATTGGGCCATCCTGCTGGAATCAGGGTCCCACCTGTAAACCAAAGTGTTCACAAGGTCACTGCAAACCCAGTCTAGAAACGCCCATCTCTCCAACAAAAGAGATTTTTAAGATTACTTAATTTCCTCATCATTTCTATTACCCAGGGCTGTGGAAATAATATTTCTAAAACTCCCATCTCAATGCCTGGCATGCAACAGATTGTCAACAGATGGTAGCTTCTTCCTTTCCATGCTGCACCTCTTTTAGTAAAAGCTGGAAAGTATAGACAATAACCCTAAACTAAGATGTGAAAAGTAAAGACGACAAGTTTAAAGATACAAGTAAGGGTTTGCCTAGGACTTCCCCACTGACCAAGTTCTCACTGAACAACAAATCAGACAAAATCTGACTTTTAAATCTCTCCACCTGAGCTGAGAAAGAAGACAAGTTAAATGTGAGGCATACAAGTTGTCTCCAGGCTCGTGAAACACTCAGGTATGAGAAGATAATCCAGCCAGTCAGCCTCAGTCATCTTTCTGAATAGTTGGGTCATGAAAATATCAACAGATCCAGCCTTAAGAAGTTGTAAAAATACTTAATCTGAGGAGTGGTCAAAGAGGGAGGTATGTATAGGTCAAAGAACACTGAGATGGTTTTCTAGGATAATGAGAACATTTGATGAAAAACTAAATACACAAGAACACATACACTCAGCCAGAGTTCTTGATTTACTTCTCAGACAAAGCAAGAATCAACACCTAACTACTGGCCCTCTCATAAAAATGAGTATACAGACTGGTAACAAGACCAGTGGATCTTCTATTCTCAAGAGCAACAAGCACCATGGTCACAAGTGGTTCAGGATCAAACATTCTGACAGAATCTGAAGGGGCAGTGCCACAGCTCCCCCAGTCTCCTCTCGGAAGACAGACTCAGAATACCCGCCTGGCTACTCCCAAGATGCTGTTCGTCATGCTCTCATGCAAAGTTCAGGAAAACACAGGGAACACCTACCTGTACAGCAGCCTTTTACACAGAATACCTTGAAGGCAGAATAAATTGAAGGCAGCACTAGCAACAGAAATGTCATCCATTTCTGTTGAAGAACTAGGTAAAATTAATGTGGACAATATATTTAACTTACTTTTTCCTTAAATATTGTCATTCTCAATCATACAAAAATGATTGAGATGTGTCATATTTTGTTGTCCAAAGTTTTCTAAATCTAGTGTGTACTTTACCCTTATAGCACAGAGCTAAAGTATTTCCCTCCCCAAGTACCAGGGGCTTAAATCATACCAGTGAAAAAGTTCAATAAAGTAAAGAAATGAGAACGTCAGAATGAGTTATTTGCCCTAATCAGATCAATATATTTCCATAAATAAACACCACCCTCCAATAATGTTGGGGAAGGGGGGTAAGTAAGTTTCTGGGTGTGCGGGATTTTGTTTTTTGTTTTAAACAATGTGTTGTTAGGCATTTCCAGCTACTGCTTCTTTGCCATTGCCACCCTCCTAGCCATCTCCTATCCCCAAGACTAACGTGAGACAGGGCAGATGCTACTTGAGCAATGGACGATACACAAAACACTGGCTGCAATGACAGCAGCAGCCTGAAGCCCACGCCACATGCTGAAAAATCATAACCACAACCATTAGAACTCCTACATTTTCTGCGGCTTCCCTGGTGGTGCAACAGGTTAAAGTGCAGAGTTCTATCCCCAGGCCCGGAGCTGACCCACAGGGTGCAGCAGACCTCTCCTGTCTCCTCCACTGCTCCCCTCAGCAGTGTGTACTTCATTGATTGACCTATTCTGCCTATTCTGCTCCCCTTACAGTGTACCTCGCTGACTTGCCTGTTTTGCTCTCCACTCTGTCGCTGGTGAATCCTCTCACCCATTGTATACCTCTGGCCTACACCCAAGGTGTATGCATAAATAAAATTAAATATTTTTTTTAAAAGGTTTTTTGTCTCCTAATGGAAGACTTAAAGAAATGGTCACCTACTTTTCATAGTAAGTTCCAATGTTATAAATTAACTTAAAAACCTTAGATTACTGTAGATACAAATGTAGAGCCATGAGAGACTAATTACTGAAACTTCCTGGTAAAAATAAAGCAGCATCCCTATACACCTTTCAAGTATAGATTATCACTGTGGTCACACATGAATATTTACATTTTCAAACTCATATGCCACTACGAAACTAGAGTTTCCATTGTCCATTTTAGGTCCTAGTTTCAGGGATTTAGGTGGCTGTTTTGGTTTAAGTTGAGAACACAAAAGGGCTGGTAAGTAAAACAGAGACCAGCTAATAGTTTTTCAATAAAATTAAGTAACTGAAAATGAGTGTCAGTATGCTTCAACTTCTTAATCTAATCTCGGTAATAGCTATCATATATTGGGGGGAAGGGGAAGCATAAATGAAAGCCAAAGAGGAGGCGGTATTTTCAAAGTGAACACAGACAAAGAGTCAAACAGTATCTCCATAAAGGCTGCTTAGCTACAAATCATATTTAACTAGCAGGAGCCACAGGGCAATCAAACCGCTGTTCATTATAAAAACAACATGTCCTTAAGAGATTACTGGCTAAAATGTCCAGGAAATCCACTGCCAACTAGCTTTGTGCGAGTGTTTCATCAGAAAAAAATATTTAAAGTCCACTTTATTTCACAATCTCATTCCTGGGTTTTCAAATTACAACTAACCTAAAGAACACTACCCAACTCTAATTGAAGTATTTCTACTCTACAGAATAATCCTAAACCTGTAACTTCATATAAGCATTTTCACTGAATCCCAAAACACAAATGATCCATGCAACAATTTGAGTGCCATTATAGGTGCAGAAAAGAGGAGTCAGTTTGTTACACACAGTAGCTGGCCTAGGACATGACACAGGGCTTCATTCTCTCAAGGTGTTGGCTAAATTTAGGTTGGCAGACAGATGTTAGTGTATAAAGGAAAGTGAAGTCAAGTGAATGCGACCCTTTTCTGCAACTGAAAAGAAAAGTGAAACAGCAAGTTACCAAAGACTTTCTGGACTTTTCAAAACAGGAATTTCTCAACCCCATGGGGATACTTACCTACAAGTCATAAGGCAAACAACTATTGTCTGATTGGGGAAGTTATGACTATAAAGATCACTCAAAAAGTTCATCCAAAGTCACAGTTCTCATCTCTATAGTTTAGTCTGAAGAAACCAAGGGATGGGGGTGAGGAACATGAGTCAGGACCACTTACGAAAGGGGTTCCTTTTCATAAATTTGCTTTGTAAATGAAAACTTTTATCTGCCCTCTGCCCAAGCACCAGGGATTAAGGAGCCACACTGAGGGAGGGAGGCGTAAAAACCAGGTACAACGCAGCAGTCTAGAACAGAAAGTGTCCGTGAGATAACCGCAATTGTCAGGTGTCTGGTGCTGGGTGTTAGCTGTAATCCATGTATTTTAAAAATTTATTTATTTACACACACAAGAGAGAGAGAGGTACAGGCCAGAGGTGCCGGGGTGAGAGGATTCACCAGAGACAGAGTGGGGAGCAGGACAAGGGTCTGACTGAAATGCACTGCTAAGGGGAGCAGTGAGGAGACGAGAGGTCTGCTGCGCCATGGGGGTCAGCTCGCTGGCCCAGAATCCAACCCTGTGGTGCACTGCTTGGCAATAGCTTCGCAGTGCTGAGACTTAAACCTTTGCACCGCCAGGGAAATCTGGGAGTGTCAATTTAAATAATATAGCTTTGGGGTCCTCCCTGGTGGCACAACGGGTTAAAGCACAACACTATGAGGCTGTCCTCTGCCGCCACTGCAGCACGAGTTCAATCCCCCGCCAGGAATCTGACCCACATGGTGTAGCAGACCTCTTCCGACCTGCCCTCTGCTCCCCTTAACAGTGTGTTTCAGTTAATCTGTCTATTCTGCTCCCCACTCTGTCTCTGGTAAATCCTCCATACCTCTGGCCTGTAACCCAGTTCTTACATGCATTAATAAATAAATCTTTAAATATATATATAGCTTTGATTATTTAGCCACTTGTAATTTAACCCTTCATAATTAGGAGCCTCCCTGGTGACGTAAGGGGTAAACTCAGTGCTATCAAGCTATCAGTAGCCACTGCAGCAAGAGTTGGATCCTGGGCCAGGGAGCTGACCCAGGGCACAGCAGACCTCTCCTGTTTTGCCTACTACTCCCCGCAGCAGGGTATTTCAACAGATCCAGGTGGATCTAGATAGATCCAGGACAGGTTCTGCTCCCAGCTCTTGTCTCTGGTGAAGTCTCGCACCACCACCTCTGCACCTCTGGTCACACCCTAGTTCTTGAATGTGGAAATAAATATCCTTTCAAAAACAAATAACCCTTCACATGCTTACCCTAGATATGAAGGCAGAGGAATTCAAATTTTAAAAAGGCTAATTCAAAATAAGTGCATTTGTATGGGAAACATAATTTCACTGCTTACAAATTAAAATATCTTTACAAGGTTTAAAATGAAACAATTGCCTTTACAATAACAAATTACATATAAATCTAGTTTTGGCTTTCTAAAAAATACAAAATATTAACACATGTAAGCCTAATCTGAACCAAACTTACTATAATATTCTATTACACTCAGTTGTAAATAGTAGAATTTGCCTAAAAGGCAGAAACCAACTCTTTTTGCAAAAAGGGACATTGAGATAGAAGAGGACTTGCCTTATAGCTCCCTACTAATGCGGAAAAGTGACTCAAGCAAAAAGGACCAAGCCAGCAGGGGCAGGGCTTAGGAGGTAAGGGAAAGAACAGTTCTAGATAACACTCGGTACCCACTCACTCCCCAAAAGCCTCGAAGCCCTCTTCCTTATCTCACTTTAATTCTTCCTGAAAGAGGCAAAGAATCTTATACCAAACCCATTCCTGCTTCCACCCCAAATCCTAATATGCCAGGTGTGATACCGAGCACAACTCCTGTTTAGTTCCCTAATTTCTAGCAAGAAATATAGAGCAGGAAATGTATCTGATTTAGAGATCACAAGGGCCAAGATTCCTGGGAATGTGAACCGAGGTACGATCCA